TTCTTCTTCTTCTTCTTCTTCTTCTTCTTCTTCTTCTTCTTCTTCTTCTTCTTCTTCTTCTTCTTCTTCTTCTTCTTCTTCTTCTTCTCTTCTTCTTCTCTTCTCTCTTCACAGCATCTCTGCCTCTTGTTCACTTCACCTCTTTCGACGACCGGCCGTCGCATCCTTATACCCTTGCTTTTTTTCTTTTTTCTTTTTTCTCTGCTTCTCTGCTACACTTTTCATCCTCCCTCATACACTTTATCCCCCCCCCCTTCTTCATGGACGGTCCTGGCGATCATTCCACACACACACACACACACACACGAAATAGATAGATAGAAAGCCTTGTGCACTTTATAATCATCATCATCGTGCATGATATGCAACGGTTCCTTTTGTCGCGGTGACATTCCTGTCTGTCTGTCCTCGTTGTCGGAATTTCCCCATCGTCGGAGAGCATGCAGTGTAGACGCTGTGACCGGAGCGATCGGTCGTTGGGCGACGGTCAAGACGCCCACCGACCGGATGCCGCTCTCTCAACCTAGTGCCCATCCGGGATAGGTCCATTCAGGGTAGCTTGCCGGTCTTCCTGTACCACCAGAAGTATGCCGCCGCAGGCGGCGCCTCGGTCATATCACGGGATGGGCCCTCGTCCCGAAGCTGACATGCGTCTCGTTCCGAGGATGCACCGCAGCTCTTTGACAACGTACGCTGGAGCGCCCGTCCATCGACTCCAGCGCAGGGTTCTTGACACGGAGGTTCTAGCCCCATGCGGAGCCGAGCGCAGACGTGCCGACCTCTCTCGTCTTGGACTGTCGACTCTTTCGTCGTTCTCTCTCTCTCTCTCTCTCTGTCTCTCTCTGTCTCTCTCTCTATCTCTCCGGGATAGGGCCCTGGATGGTGGAATATGACATGGTTCACGCACGCGCAAGGCCATCCTCGTCATCTTCTCAGACTACTGTTCTTCGCATCTCCCTCATTTTCGCAGAGGATCCATGCGTCATTCCACCTCACGCAGCGATGGGCACCTGGGTGGTCGAGCCGCCACCAGATGGAGGTTCGGGAAGGTCGTCCTATCACGCGGGGGAGGATATTCGTTAGCATCGGCAGAATATGTACAGAGAAGGAAGGATACAGCTAGGGATAGAGACCATACCAGGTCAAAGATAACCCGGATCATGAGGCTGCAGCTGGGACACACGGCAATGTCCTGCTCGTCACGGAGATCTTCCAGGGCAATCTGGAACTTGTCACCGCAGGGACACGGGTAGTTGTACAGCTGAAGGGCCTCGTCGAAGGTCATGTCCTCGATTTCGATCTCGTCGTAGATGGAGAGGCCGTCGTCGGACATGGTGGGCAACGTCCGTACATGCGCAGCTTCTGACGTGGTTCCTATGTTGGCAGAGATAGAAGCAACGATGGATGCCCCTCCATGAGAGAGAGAGAGAGAGAGAGAAAAAATGTACCGGTCATACCCCACGTCAGAAATTGTGGCTGGTGACTGGAAGATTGTGGCGGGTCAGGTGCTTATGGGACCAGTACCTGTGGCTTGATCTCACAGTGACATTTCACATGCCGGCCGGGGAAAGCGTGGGGGAGGAGCAAAGCAGAAGCATCTTTGATCATTAGCGGCTTTGCCGTCTCCCAGGCCGAGGGAATGAGCTATTACGTCGTCGTATAGTACACATACATGGCATTACGGGGAACGTCGACTCTCGCCATCTGCTTCCCCCCACCTTCTTCATCTTCTCTATCCTCTCTCCCTTCAGACACACATGAATCCCCCCCCCCATGGCTAACCCCCCCGTACATTGCGACGTTGGTTGAACTGCCACTCACCCCCCCGGCTCTATCGCGCGAAACCAACCCAACCGCCGCCCCGCGCGTGCGCTCCCTCCATCCTGTGACGCCATTGACACTGTACGAGGTGCTACATATCCAGCAGCAAGAACGAAGTGAATATCAGAAAGGAGAACGAAACACGCAGAGATAAAAACACGTACACGCACGTACGCACACACGCACGCACACAACGCCATGGCTGGCCAGTCCAAGCTCTCCTTACTACGAGGTCGGTCCTTCAGCACCGTCATCTCGGACCTGACACGCGTATACCTCGACAACCGCTCCCGCATCTCCCGCGCCGTCTGGGCCACCCTCCTCATCGCCCTGGTCGGTCGCATCCGCAACGCCGTGTCCGAGCAGAAGGCCGCCTCGTCGAGAGAGGCTTCCCGGCGCGATGCCGCGCCGACAGACCCCGCCAAGGCCTCACCCGACTCGCCTCGCAAGAAGGTCGAGCTCAACCGCGATTTCTTCCGCTCCCTGATCCGCCTCATGAGCATCGTCGTGCCCGGCTGGAAGAGCAAGGAGGCCAGGCTGCTCGTCAGCCATAGCTTCTTCCTCATCCTGCGCACCCTCATCAGCGTCCGCGTCGCCGAGATGGACGGCGCCATCGTCAAGGCCCTCGTCAGGGGGAAGGGGAAGGAGTTCCTCAAGAGAATCGTCTGGTGGATGATCATTGCCGTCCCTGCCACGTTTACAAATTCCATGGTCAGTATTTTTTCTCTCTCTCCTTTTCTCCCTCCCTCCCTCCCTCCCTCTACATATACATGTGTGCGTGTGTATGTGTATGCCTTCGCATATCAAAAGACACGTGCAATACTAAAACACCATGTAGCTGTCCTATCACCAAGCAGAGCTGTCGCTCAAGTACAGATCCCGTCTCACCCAGCACATCCACGACAAGTACCTAGACAACCTCACCTTTTACGGCCTGTCAGCCCTCGACGACCGCATAAAGAACCCCGATCAGCTCATTGCAGTCGACGTCTCCAAGTTTTCCAACAGCATGGCTGAGCTATACAGCAATCTTGCCAAGCCCCTGCTGGACATGGTATGTTCTCCCTCCTCTCCTTCTACTCCATCGCGCCCTCACTGCTTCATAATGTATTGTTGAAGAAGAAGATGAAGGAGAGAGAGTTGGGGAAGAAGGATGTATAAGAGCCGAGATGATGAGGGTGGTGAGAGGGCTAACCGCTTCACCCCAACATGCCAGACCATATATACATACTCCCTATCCAAGAGCGTCGGTGGCGAGGGCGTCGTCTTCATGTCGCTCCTGGTCCAGCTATCAGCCAACGTGATGCGGGCGCTGACCCCGCCCTTTGGCCGCTTCGTGGCCGACGAGGCCAGGCTGGAGGGCGAGTTCCGCTTCCAGCACTCGCGCCTGATCGACCACAGCGAGGAGGTGGCCCTGTATGCCGGCCACGACGTCGAGAGGGACAGCCTCGACAAGGGCTACTTCACCCTCATCAAGCACGTCAACTACATACTCCGCCGCCGCTTCTACCACGGCTTCATGGAGGACTTCGTCATCAAGTACCTCTGGGGCGCCCTGGGCCTCATCCTCTGCAGCTTCCCTGTCTTCTTCAAGCTCCCGGGCCACGTCGCAGTCAACATGGGCGACCGCACCGAGTCCTTCATCACCAACCGCCGCATGCTCCTCTCCGCCTCGGACGCCTTTGGACGCGTCATGTTCTCGTACCGCGAGATCATGGAGCTGGCCGGGTACACGTCGCGCGTCGCGTCCCTGCTCGACGTCATGGACGACATCCAGGCTGGCCGATTCGAGAAGAAGCTCGTGTCCGCCTCCGGGACCGAGAACAATGAGGCCGTTCTCAAGGGTCGAGGTATCGTCCACGAGAGTCAGGATATCACTTTTATCGACGTGTATGTCTCCTTCCCCCCGCCTTCCCCCCCGTCCACATTGTAGAAGACCGGCCCAGAACAGACAAGGGGAGGGAAAAGAGAGAACAGGAGAGAGGACTGACAGAAACCCCCAACTTAGCCCCATCATCTCCCCCAACGGCGACATCCTCGTCAAGGCTCTGTCCTTCTCCCTCAAGCACGGCGACCACCTGCTGATCGTCGGCCCGAACGGGTGCGGCAAGTCGTCGCTGTTCCGCATCCTGGGCGGCCTGTGGCCGGTGTACGGCGGCACGGTGCATAAGCCCCCCTTCAGCGCCATCTTCTACATCCCGCAGCGGCCGTACCTGTCGCGCGGCTCCCTCCGCCAGCAGATCATCTACCCGGACTCCCTCCGCCAGATGCGCGCCCGGGCCGTGTCGGACGCCGACCTCCTATCCATGCTGGCCGTCCTCGGCCTGGACCACCTCCCCAACCAGTACGAGGGCGGGTGGGACGCCGAGGCCGAGTGGCGCGACGTCCTCTCGGCCGGCCTGCAGCAGCGCGTCGCCATGGCCCGCCTCTTCTACCACCGTCCCCGCTACGCCATCCTCGACGAGTGCACCAGCAGCGTCACCCTCGACACCGAGAAGGCCATGTACGACCAGGCAAAGGCCCTAGGCATCACCCTCATGACTGTCAGCCACCGCCGCAGCCTGTGGAAGTACCACTCCCACATCCTCCAGTTCGACGGTCAGGGCCACTACATCTTCACCAGACTCGACGCCGAGAGGAGGCTCAGGCTCGAGGACGAGAAGGAGGACCTCGACGTCAAGTTGAGGCAGGTCCCTGAGCTGCAGAGGCGTATGGTCGAGTTGCAAGGTTCTACTTAGTCTTTTTTTTTTGCCTTTCCTTCTTGATTTTTTCCCTTGCCTTCTTCTTTTTCTCCCTTCCCTTCTGGGTTTCTTTCTCTTGTTTTTTTTTAGAGTTTTCTTTGTCTTCTTGTTTTTTTCTATAAAAAAAAACTTTTGTATTAAATAGGTCAATCAAAGATATAATCTCATTTTGGCTTCGGCGGCCCTACCGGGGGTTCACTTCTCGCTTCGCTCGCACGACCTTGTTAAATCACAAGTTCTATCTCTCAAGTTATTTCTGTTTATACAAGGGAAAAAAAATCATCCTATTATATATATATATATATATATATTTACCTCCGGTCCTATCAATGTTTTTTTCACTTCTCGCTCGCATCGTCTCAACATAAAAACTACAACTCAATCTTTCTCTTTTTTCTTTTTTTTTTGCAACCAAGCTTATTACAAAAGAGAAGAATCAAAAAAAAAGAAAGAAAGAAAGAGTGGGGGGGAAGACTCTAGATCAGAACTATCAAGATCAAAACCAAAAAAAAAAGAAAAAGAAAAAAAAAAGAGGTACAGAATAAAGAAGAAGTTGCTTTTTTTTCTCACTAGGCCTGCTAGGCGGTAAAGAATAATACAAGAACTGTACAAAAGAGATGGGCAAAGACTCCTGGTATATGACCCGACGGGAAAGGATAACAATGACAAGGACATGGAAACAGAAAGTATAGAAAAAAAAGATGGAAAAAAATAAAGACATGAGGAAGAGAAGAGAAGAGAAATAAATAAAACAAGGGGGGGAACATTAATATATAAAGAAAAGAGCGAGGGTAATGCAATCTTCTAAACTATCAGGAATTATCCCCTCTCGTGTGTGAAGAAGGGGGGAATATACAGGGAAGGAGAAAAGGAGGAGGAGGAGAAAAGAGAAAAAGATAGCAAAGTAATACAAAAGTGTAAAAAGTGAAGGATGATTATAGAGGAAACAGTGCAAAGAAGAAGAAGAAAAAGGCCGTTATTCCTCATCCAAACTCCCCATGAAGAGACCACCCTTACTAGCCTTCTTACCCAACTTGAGCATGCTCAACCGCTTTCGCACGCCTCCCATCTTTGACGAAGAGGCGGGCTTGTCGTCGTTATCCGTCGACGAGGCAACCGACGGTCTCCGCTCGTTCGACAGAGTCCACGTCATGCTCTTGTTACTGGCGACGCGTGTCATCCCGTCTGCTGCGGGGGCGCCGCCGCCGACAGAGGCGCCTGCCGATGCCGACGTGGGTACGCGGGACTGCAGACGCTGCTGCTGCCGCTGGTAGAACGTCTCCTTTGGGAACAGGCCGTGGGTAGCACCGGCCGGTGCTGCTGCTGTCGATGCAGCCTCGTTGTTGGCGGCGGCGGCGCCGGAGTCTCGGGCTGCTTCTGCGACGAAGGCGGTGTTGTCGCCGCTGGGCTTCCTCTTTTTATTCATAAAGCTGAGGCGTCTGTTGCGCGGCTGGACGACCGACACCGGACGCATTATCGCCGTCTCCTCCGTCTTGCTGACGCCGTCGGCTCCCGACGCTGCCGCCGACGAGGATATCGGTGGCGTCGGCGTGCTGCGGACGTTGTTGATGTGGTTGGCCGCCGTGATAGGTGATGCCGACGACTTGCGCCACGTCGGGGAGATGCTCATGTGGCCGGCCATGTCGCGGCCGTTTTGCCGGAGCAGCGGAGGGGGAGGGGACAAGATGGCGATCTCGGGAGCGTACGTTGTTTCAAAGTCTAGAATTCGTCAGGATCTCGTGTTCCGTCAAGAGGCAGGAATATGAATGAGAAGAGAGAAAGGTGAGTGGGAATGAGGCCAGTCAACTTACACTTCTGAAGCTCCGTCTGGTGTTCGGTGTAGAGTCCGTTGGACGCACGCAACAACACTGCCAGGCAGCGCTTCAGCACCATGGCGTGATCGATGAGGGCCATCTTGATGGCGTTTTCCAGGGGATCAAGGTCTGGCTCCTCGTCATCCTCCTCTTCGTCATCTTCCTCGGCTCCTCCATCGTCGCTCCCGCTCCCGCTAGCACTATCCTTGCGGCTGCCCCTGCGGCTCTTCGGCTGGGGCAGCAGCTTTCGGTAGGAAGACACGCTGCTCTCCGAGATCGGACTGACGGAGATGTTGACGGCGTCAACGAGCAGAGCGGCACTCTCGTCATCGCCTTCCCCGTCTGTGCCATCGGGCGAAGATACGCGGCGCTCCAGCGTGGCGAGCTCCTGCGTTTTACGGACGATGCGCTCCAACGCCGTCTCGCGGGCTCCCAACCTGATTTCGTCGAAGGCGATGATCTCACTGCGCCGGAGGATGGTGGGGAAGGGCTCCGCCGTGGTGAGCAGCATCTTGTCGGTGTGATGCTCCTCGACCGGGCCCGTCGTGATGCGCCGCCTGATGACGGAGAAGGTCTGCGGGTGGGACGAGAGCAGAAACTCGCGGATGACGGGCGGCACTTTGGACCGCTGGTAGACTTGGTGATCCAGGTCCTTGTGGGGGGAGACGTTGCTGACGATCAGGTACTGGCCCTCGACCTCGTCGACCTCGTCGCCGTTGGTGACGATCCGCGCGTTGGGGTACTGCTCCTGCATGCGGTCGGTGAAGGCGGACCCGCGCTCGTGCAGGGCGCCTTCGTAGATGAATTCCTTGTCGCGGACGTTGGCGGGGAAGCCGAGGCCTTTGAAGACCACCTTGAAGTATTTGGGCGTCGTCTTCTCGCTCTTGGAGATGGTCTCGTAGATTGTAGCGATGGCACGCTGCGTCCGCGCCAGCTTGGCGAAGTCAAACATGTTGGTCTCGTACTGCACCTGCAGCTCCTTGTACGCCGTCAGCGCGTTGCTCCACGACTCGCCGTCCTCGAAATGCTTGATCATGGCAAAGTAGATCTTCTCTTTGCGCTCAAAGGCCGTCTGAGCCGGGAACTCGGGCTCCGACAGGGGCGTCGTATGCCGTGTCGGGTCCCACTCGTACAGGTCCGCGTGCAGCCGCAGTGCCAGTCCGGCCTCGGCGTGATTCCTGCACTCGGCCTGGAAGGCCGCCAGCTGATGCACGTAGCGCACAAAGATCTCCTCCTTCTGCATATCGCGCAGGAACTCCATGAGCCTCAGCTGGCTGATGAGGTTGGTCGCCTCGTTGGTGCTGTCGGCATTGTGCACCGCCGTCAGGAGGTCGAGAAACTCGTCCACCGTGCCCACCAGCTCCTGCACTGCCGTGTACAGCGGCTCGTCGGGAAGCTCCGAGAGAGGCTGGAAGCGCTCCAGCAGCTCGCTGACGAACAGCTTCTGGATGATGCTCTCGGCCAGCGGCTTCGTCTTGAAGAAGTTGTCGAGGCAGTCGATCATCTCCGTCTGGATGATGGACAGGTCCTCGCTCAGAGTCCACTCGCTGACAATCATCGTCTGCAGCACCTGCACCGCCATCCTGCGCAGGCCTTCGTGCACGCTCAGGCACAGCTCCACGATGGGGCCCACCAGCGCCGGCACGTACTGCACCTGGTATCCTCCCATCCTGGCCAGCCCGAATCGCTTCTCCTCCTCGGTGCCCGGCTCCCAGCCGATGGCCTCCCAGGTTGTGCGGAGGAGGTCGGCACCGTGCTCCCTGACGTCGCCGGCAATCTTCCAGACGGCCCTTCGCTTCTGTTCCGGGAACGTCTCGAGAGCCAGGGACGGGCTGCCGACGAGCTTCAGCAGCGTCGTGAAGAACAGCTTCCACAGCTCCGTGTTGAAGCTCTCGGCATCGTCCGGATCCGGTAGGAAGGACTCGAGCATGATGCCAGAGATGTACCGCAGCGTGCGCATCGTCGACTTGTGGTGGCAGATGTGCACGCTCAGCCAGTTCTGGGGGAAGCCCCCGCCGTTGAGGATGCTCAGGTGCACATGGAGGAGGTTCTCCAGCATGGTCGTGAGGTCGTCGTCGGCCAGCTCCAGCTGCATACCCGCCGGCCGGCTCGATACGGCGGCCAGGATGGCCGAGAGCTCAGCCAGGGCCTCGTCGTGGACGAGCTCGCCGGACAGAGGCTTCGACGGGAAGGGGTACGAGGACGGGAACAGCAGGGAGAGGCGGTTCCGGGGCTCGTGCTCCACCGAGAGCAGGGCGAGATACGAATCGATGATCTTGGGGATGTGGTCGGGTATCTCGTGACCGAGCTGGTCCATCTGGCTCGCGAGGACCGAGCAGCACAGGCGGATCTGGTCCCGCCACTGGTCGTTGATCTGGTGAGTGTGGCCCCAGTGGGGGGATATCCACCGCACCGTGTTGGCGATCAGGACGGACTTCTGCTCGGGATGGGAGAAGACGTCGAGCTTGGAGTAGTTGATGATGAGCATGAGCTTGTAGAGCACCAGCTTACCCTTGACGTCGTTGCACGAATCTACAAAGTCAATGGCGATATGGAGGATCTCCTCGGTCGTCAGCAGACCGGTCAGCTCCGGCAGCCAGGTGTGAAAGTGCTGCACGGCGAGCGTCTGGCTGCCCACGAGGACGGGTGACGAGTTGCGCATCATGGCATCCAGCGCCTTGAAGATGGTCCGCAGGTGCCTCTTGAATCCGTTCGTGGACGACTTGATGCCGATGCCCGCCTCCTTCTCCCTCTGCTGGCCCCTCGCGTGCGTGATGAACTTGAGGATGTGCCGCACCACCTTCAGGGTGGAGCGGAGCTTGCGTGCCGTCTCGGGTTCGGCGGGGTTCTCCAGGAGCCGGGTGAACGATCGGACGAGACACGGTGTGGCAAATGGCGAGTTGAACTGGTTCTCGGCGTAGTAGTCGACAAGGGGTCCGAGGTTGAATCGCCGATCGTGGACGATGCCGAGGACCTTGACCAGGGCCGTGAAGACGAGGTCCTCGTACTCGTCGTTGCCCGAGTACTCTACGAGGATGCCGAAGAGGCCGTTGAGCACATCGCTGAGGAGCTTGACAATCTCGATCTCGGGCGTGAAGATGAACTCCTTGAGCGTGGCAGAGACCCTGTCCTTGGGCAGGTCCTTCCACTTGAGGACGTCCAGGATCACGCGGTCCTGGGAGAACTTGGTGCTGCAGAGGTACGTTTCCACGAGCATGATGGCAAGGGGACCCGTCACCTCGACGGAGCGTTCATCCCTGCCGCGAGAGGTCCACGGCAGCGACAGGTAGCCACCCTTCCCAACCGGTCCCGGCTGCGCCGTCGACGTGTGCTCGTCAATCCTGTAGAGAAGCAGGCCGTGCGCGCCGTCACGGATGAAGGCCTGCTGGTCCCACAGGGGTATGTAGGCGACGGCAAACGGCGGGTTGGGCACGTCCGACAGGTACAGGACCACATGGGTGCTGACAACGTCCTCAGGCTGGAGGGAGAGGCGTAGCGTCTGAACCCACGAATTGCCTCTCTCCACGGCCACCGACTTGAAGGTGGACAGGCCACTGCTGTTGGACGAGGGGAAGATGCAGCCGTCTATCCTCTCGCCGGACGACCGTCGGACCTCGACCGTGACCTGGAAGTTCACGCCGCTGATGGTGCCGGGCATGGATGTGGCGCTGCCGCCAAATCTAGAGAGCAGGTTCTGCCTGGCGAGAGAGGCAGAGTTTATGGTGACGTAGATGTCGGAGCGAGGCTTGGAGGGGGCACCAGCAAAGCCCATGCGGTTCGTCTTCACCACGCCCGAGAGGAGAGTGGGCGTCGCCTTGATGAGGGCATCGGCATCCGGGTGATTGAAGCCCTTGAGCAGGATCTGCAGACGCTCCCCCCTCCTGGATTTCTCAAAGTGGGCCATGGGGTTGTCCATGAGCTCCCTGATGATGGGGTCCCACCCGTCTCTGCCCTCCTTCTCTTCCGAGACCAATGATGAAGACTGCGACCAGATGCTGACAAGATGCTCGGCCTCCTCCTGATGCTTCAGGACGGAATTGACGCGCAGGATGCCCACCCCGACGGTACGCTGCGCTGCATGGGTGGCAGGGGGCGCCACCTTGGAGCCGGCAGAGCCAGGGGTGGGTAGGCCGTCCTGCGTCCTGCTGTCCATGCCGTTTGTGGGCGGGCGCTGCTCGGGCGTCTTCTCGGACATGGGGTCCATCCTGTTCGGCACGCCCCTCGACACGGCAGACCGTGCCGCCTTGCTGCCAAACATCATACTCATTCTCGAGGACTTGCCACCCGCGGGAGACTGCACAGCGTCTCGGTGATAGCCTGTCTGACCGCCTGTTCCGGTTCTCGAGAGCGGTTTCGGCGTGGAGATCTGGCGCGAGGCCACCACCTTGACTACGAGGTAGACCTCGGCCTCGGCTGCTGCGCCGTCGCCGGTATCCTGGGGCGATATATCTGCGAACAGCGTGCTGGTCTGGGTGATCTGATCAAGACCGCCGACCGTGCCGCCCTGACTCACGTCGACACTGAAGGGCTCGGAGATGTTGACGACCTTACTGCAGCTCGTCTTGCTGACGAGGGAGAAGACCAGTGACGTCTCCTCGTTCGTGGAGCCCGCAAAGGCCTTGACATCCAGGAGTATGTGGTGCAGGGTGCTAGGCTCGGCGACGGGCTGGGGAGGCTCATCGAGGAGGCTCATGACGGACTGCAGCTTGGTGACCTCGACAGGCGAATCGTCTCCCGTCAGTACGCGTCCGTGAGCGGTAGGGTCGCGCACGATCACGTCACCACCACAGAGCTTGTTGACAGTGACCAGATCCCAGACCGTCTTCTCGCGGAGTTTCTCGTACTCGTGTGCTGTGAGGACGTTGTACAGGAACTGGTGGCGGCTGAAGTTGAGACCGCTGATGAGCTCGGACAGCTGGTCCAGACGCTCATACTGGCCCGACAGGAGCAGCTCGTGGAGGTTTGTCGAGTGCCACTCGCGCATGCACGAGCCAATCTCGTCAATCAGAGGCTCTTCAGCCGAGGTCGGCGTCTCATCACCAACTTTCAGCATGGGCACGGGAGCCGGGGGACGTGGTGCGTTGGGATCCCGCTGGACGGGCACAGAGAGCTTGACGGGGATCTCATTTGTGATCTCCTGCAGCGGCTTCCTAGACCTGCGTGCAGTGGCTGTGCTCTTGCGGCCGGCACCATTGACGAGGCCGTTCTTTGCGGGGGATAATTGGGGTTGCATCCCATTCTCGGCGTCGCCATTGTCGGCCTTGGCATAGTGGTTGTTCTCGTCGTTGGTATCGTAGACGTTGTTCTCGTCGTCTGCCTCGTCGGGCTCACCCAGCATCTCACGGACCTCGACACAGCTTCGCGGGAAGATGCCGCTGAAGACTCTTGCTTCCAAGGTCTGGCCCTTGACCGAGGTCAGGCCCGCCAGCAGGCTGGGCGGGGCAACGAGGTAGCCGCGCAACCAGTTGCCGTCGGGCGTCTCCTCGATCACGTAGAGCTCATCGCCAATCTCGAGGGGGAGGTCGTCCGGGCTCGCGGGAGCGAAAGGGTATGTCGCGACGGCGAATGCGATGCGTGGTAACGGCTGCCAGGGCATTGAAGCGCCGGGGGGGGGTGGTGCAGCCTCTATATTGAGAGAGCACCAGTACGCGCAGAGGGAGGGGACGGGACAAGATCGGGAGGACGATGACCTCGTTCAGGGCCCCGACGAGTCGACCGAGAGGATTTCGAAAAGAAGGATATTCGCTACCGTTGCTTGGTGGTTGTAGAGGTAACTGGAGGTTCGGGAGGCATCAAAGCTGATATGTTGGCTGCACAGACGCTAAACGAATGGGAAAGATAGAGAACGGACGAAACTGTTCAGATAATCGGACGTTAGCGGGGGCCGCAGGCGTAGAAAACAAGGCCGTGATAAACGTAGCACTGTGCCGTACTCACGTTTTCTTTCTATGGTCGAATTCTGCAGGAGAAGAATGAGGGGGAGAACGAACTCGTTCAATATCGCAAATGTCGAAGCCCCTGAGCTCGAAGGACGCTATAATACTTGGTGTGGTGTTGGTGTGGTGTGGTGTGGGCAGGGTTCATGGCGCGCGTGCAGACGGCTGCCAGCTGGTGCAGAAAAGACGCGGCTGTTCCTGCTTCCACTTAGGGATTGCCACTGGAATTTAACTTTTGGAAGACTGGAGAAGGAAATATGACCATCTACGTGTATGGATAAATGCACAGAAGAGACACGGCAGAAGATTGAATAACTTGAAGGCTGGCGCAGAGGCAGGATGACCAGACGGCTGTGACTGAGACAAAAGGGTTCTGCAACATAAAAATGCCCAAGGTTGGCGCTGTCTGCGGCTTCTTCACGTGCCAAGAATAGGGGGGGGGGGTCACCACTGAAGGCACCTCTGAGAACCCGGAAAGGTATAATCTTACAGGCCTTCATTACAGCTTAATAATGATACATCGATATGTACGTATTGTGTACAGGTTACAGAGGATACGCGGGGGTTTTGGGAGGAGGGGCGCCGGTCGCCCGCTGTGCCGCTGTCTGATATCTGCCCGCTGCACGGAGTATGATTACCTAGCAATAGGCTAATAGACTATAGCGGGACACTTCTGTCACCGATTAGCGGGGGAGTGTTTGGTTGTGTTTTGGTGCTCTGTCAACGGCCATTAGTGTGCCAATTATTCCGTAGTGGCAGCCTAGGAGTTAAGGCTGCTATGTACTGCTGCAGCAGAACCCCCTGATATCGGTAGCCCGTCCTTGTCCGTGGTGCTGCTACCTACAGATTACTACTAACAGAGTAAATATGTACCTGTATCAGGAGCTGTATCAGGAGAGACCGCTCGTACATACTACGTACTAGTAGGAATAGCAGGCAGTAACAGATATGGACACGGCATTGTAAAAGGTCTCATGCTAGCTAGTAGTGCTACCAGTGCCAAGGCCTTCTATTTAGATCGGGTACCGAGTACACGGGACAGTTCGTACGGGTCGCAGGCCGAGAGCAGCATCATGCCAACTGTCTATTCCCACTACAGATAGTCATCCTAATATTATACCGTCTGCAATACTATTATGCCATGTCATGCATTGGAATTTGGCCATAAATAGGGACAGAAACTAAGGCGATCAATGCGTACTCAAAAGCCTAATATTTCTGTCAATCACCTCCCTACTATCAACTGATCCTTCAAATATTACAACACCCCAGCAATGACCTGATACCATGACAGTTCATGGCCCTCAACGACGACCAGTGCACTTAGCCACACGTGCAAGTAAAGTAGTGATGTTGTCAAAGGATAAACGAGCCTGAAAAAAGGAGATGCGGGTTTTCCTACTCATTCCAGATGACCAACTGTCCGCCGTAGACATTGTTATTCACAGGCGTCGTGCATATCCGTCCAAAGTGGCATACCGGGTAACTATGCGAGACACGGCAGGCCAACAGACGTCAGACCAACATGAGAGACGTCCATGCATTTCTCGACGCGCGACTGCGACAATAAACACACGGGAGACGTATACGGCGTGAGTATACTGGTACAATTGCGGATACCTACATACAGATAGATAACTCGGACTGATCGGGGGATACGGAACATCATCGATCTAAACATTATCGGCAGGGAAGTCTGGCAGGGGAGAGCAAACCAGATCGCACACACAACGCATAACATAATCACATACATCTCTGACTGGGGAAAGGACTTCAAGGTTTAGGACCACCCCCCCCTCCCCCCCCCCCCCCCCCCCCCCCCACCCCCCCACCAACAACCACCGCGCCCCCCCCCCCTCCCCCCCCCCCCACACTACAAGCACCTCGAGAGATACCGCTGAGCCTCTACCTCCTCTTCCCGATCAGACTTTTTATTATGGAAAGGGGGGAGGGGGGGGGGGGGGGGGGGGGGGGGGGAAGCTGACTAACTGACCTGATTTTATCACCTTGTCACATCATTCGATATTTTGGTCCAACTTTGATATCGCCATCTCTTTCCTCTTCCCTCTGATCTTCTTGAGCCATCAGCAAAGAAGGACGCCAACCGACGTCATCTCCGTCCTTGCTCGCCAAGTCCACCTTCCAGAGCGGCGCCTTCCCCACCCTTCCACCTGGCCCCTCTTAGCTCCTCCCCCCCCTCTCGCAACAGTGACTCTCCTCTCTGACAGGGTATCACACCAAAAGACCAACAGGAACACAAGGCTTACCCTTTTTATCTTCTTCTCCTTCCACGTGTGTGTGTATGTGTGTGAAACCGTGTGTACGTCCAAGCCACAAGACCTGCTGTGCAACTCCTGTCGGGCAACCAACCAACTGACCGACCGCACACTCGGCTGCAAGGCTCAGGCTCGCCTGCATGCTGCATGTGGTAGAACCCTCCTTCCGTCTGCCGTACATAAGAGAGAAGTCACCACCACCTCCATCTTGGGCATCTCCCTGCCACCGCTCTTAACCCGAAACGTTACGCTGCAGAAAAGAATCAAGAGAAAGAGGGGTAAAAAAAAAGAAGACGATACATAAACGGAGGACCTAAAGGGGGCAACGACAAAGGGATTTGGACATACCCAACCCACCTGCACAGTATAAATCCACCGAGGCGAACTGACGCCGAGGCAAAATAAATAAATCTCAGCAATGGGAACGCCATTCATCACCTTCCTCGAGCCTAGTAAGCTCGAGGGGTATATGCCCGGCGAGTTGCGCGACAGGCAGCCTCCCACCATCCCCTCCGCCTTCTTGGACGCCATGGAGGTGCGCGAGGAGGTCTTCGTCCAGGAGCAGGGCGTGCCCGCGAACAACGAGTTCGACAGCGACGACCGCCGCTCGTGCCATTGGGTCATCTACGCCAGCGTCAACAAGACGGAGGAGGTCGAGGTGCGCGACGACAACGGCAACGTCGTCCGCCCGCGCAAGAGTTCCACGCGGTCCACCCCCGTGGGAACCGTGCGCCTCGTTCCCTTCCCCCACGATCCCCACCCTGTCGACGGAGGCACCTACTGGGGCAACAAGCTAATAGAAGACGATGCGGACCCCCAGACGGCGTCCTCTCAAGCGAAGACTCACGTCCGGACAGCCTCCCTTGCCACCGCTGCCGCCCCCCACTCGAAACCCTACATTGTCGACCGTCCCACCACCTTCCACGACGGGAGAGAGCCTTATGTCAAGCTGGGCCGCTTGGCTGTGTCAAAGGAGTTTCGCGGCCACCGCCTCGCCGGTCTCCTCGTCAACACGGTCCTCAACTGGCTCAAGGCGAACCCGACCTATTTCAATCCCAGTATCAAGGAGCTCGGGCTGGAGAATATCGGTGCCACGAGCGAGAGGGACATTCCCAAGTGGAAGGGGCTCGTTTGTGCGCACGCGCAGGAGAGGGCCGTACGTGCTTGGTCTAAATGGGGTTTCCAGGTGGACGAGGGAATGGGCAGGTGGTACGAGGAAGGCATACCGCACGTAGGCATGTTCCAGCGCCTCGCCATTGACTCTGATCGGATTCGCATCTGATCTGACTTCTAGCTTCTCCTTTTTCTTTCATACTCACTACCTTCCCTTCCCCTTTCCTCTTTACTTTTTTTTTTAATCTTACGACGCATCATCCCACAGACTTACTGTTCCACCACACTCATGTAACCAAGAATCTCTCTCCCCTCCCCCATATCAGCATTGGACAGTGGGTGGGATGTTACTTGCTTACGTCTTTCTACAACCAGTATTATAGAAGCATATAAAGAATTGAGCTCGAATAAACTTCTTTGATCGGCAGCTATAAGCGAGGACTAGTCCAACACAGGACTGTAGCATATCGTTGAAAGCAAATGATTGCCATGCGATTACATGTAGCAGCACCGCACAATGTGGGGTTGGGTTGAAGAACGATGGGCGTATAGCAATATATGCGAGAGACAGAATCATTCCAACCAGACAATCGGACACAAGGCGGAGCAGACACATACAAGGTATGGCCGGGAACAAGGGGCATAATAGTCGTTTCATTTCGCCCTCATGGAGCCTGCATTTCTTTATTTTTTGTAGGCTCTAGAGCCAGTTTGTGACACAACAAAATCCGTGGCCGCGTTCCAAGACCCGAACGCATAAATGCAATTCTTAAAAGATGCCAGAACCGCGCCAAAAGCGACTCCCATAGTTTTATACCCATTCCCAAAAAGTGTGAAAAGCATGCCCTTCCGGGATACGGGGGGAGCACACATGTGAGTACTTGGTAAGAACTTCCCCGCGGCGCCCTTCTCGCACGGATCGACAAAAAGTCCGTCCCCACATCCACACTTGTTTTTTGTTATTTTACTTCCCCGTTTATCGGTTGCTCTTGGCCACACGCTCGAGCTCGTCCTTCTTCTTGATGGCGTACGAGTTGCTGGAACCCTTGGCGGCGTTGATCAGCTCCTCGGCAAGGCACTCGGCGATAGACTTGACGTTGCGGAAAGAGGCCTCGCGTGCACCGGTGGTGAGGAGGGCGATGGCCTGGTTGACGCGGCGGAGAGGCGACACATCGACGGCTTGCCTGCGGACAGTACCGGCGGAACCGATACGGGTGGAGTCTTCGCGGGGGCCGCAGTTGACAATGGCGTCAACGGCAACCTGGATGGGGTTCTGGTCGGTCATCAGGTGGATCTGTGCGAGAATGAATGCGTTAGCCACCTGGATTTTCCTTTGTCTCGTTGTGATGCGTGCGAGAGTGTGCCGTCCTGCCCCCCTGGAGGGGGTTAAACTGGGGGCGGGACACTCGTGCGTGGGTGCGGTTGTGATGGTATTGGTCAGAACATACGATCTCGAAGGCGTGGGCGACAATGCGGACGGCCATGACCTTCTTTCCGTTGTTGCGGCCGTGCATCATCAGCGAGTTGGTGAGACGCTCGATGATGGGGCAGTTGGCCTTGCGGAAGCGCTTGGTGGCGTAGCGGCCAGCAGAGTGAGGGAGGTAGACGGGGTTGCGGAGGGAGACGTAGTCACTGATTTCACACAACATCGTTAGCAAGACGCACACACAAATATGTCACATCATATGTATGTGGATATGGCCAAGATCCTTCCTGGCCCTTTAAGCATCTCCCTCAGCGTCCTAGTCCCTCGCCGCAGAACGTGACGCCATCTCCTTTCCCATTTCTTTTTGCAATCATCCACCTGGCCACGAGTAGTCCTATGGACCTTCCGAGGAATAAAGGGGGAAAAAATATAACGTACGTCAGCGAGATGTCGCGAACCTCAACATCGTAGTCCCACTTGTTGAAGAGCTTGACGTTGCCGACCTCCTTGATAACGTCCTTAGGGAGGATCTCCGGGAGAACGGAGTTCTCGACCTCGATATCGCCGCCGTCAGACATGTTGGCTCTGTGCAGTCGAAACTTGGGGAAATTCTGGCGAAGAGCGGACTGCGGGTTAGTATTGGTGACGGTGGGATTTTTTTTTCCTCGTGAGGTTTGGATGGGCGTGCTACCAAGGTCGAACGAGGGTTGAAATTCGGGTTTGGTGTGAGCCCTGGGCGGGGCGAATCAGAATTCGCGAAAAATCAGGTACGTACCCCCGCCCTCCCAAGCTTAGGGCTCAGCTGCCCTGGGGCCAACGAGGCAAAACTTCACTTTGGGGCTAACCTGTGCGTTGTGCGTGGCGCGGGCTAAGCGGGATGGTGTCTTTGGTCTCTAGCGAGCAACGCCTAGATTCCTGGTTTTGTTCCCTCTTCACATCCATTTTCCGACATCATCATCAGACAAAATGGTTCGTCTATAACTCCACCACAATGCCTCCTGCCCGTCCTCAGAGATTATGGCAACGAGTCCCCTGGCAACATGAACATTCGTTGCTGACCTCTTTTTTTTTTTAACTACAGGCTGCCGGAAAGCAAAAGAAGAAGTGGTCCAAGGGCAAGGTCAAGGACAAGGCCCAGCACACCGTCCTCCTCGACAAGCAGACCTCCGAGAGGCTCCACAAGGATGTCCAGTCGTACCGCCTCGTCACCATCGCTACTCTGGTCGACCGCATGAAGATCAACGGCTCGCTGGCCCGCCAGTGCCTTGCCGAGCTTGAGGAGAAGGGCTTGATCCGTCCCGTCGTTACGCACAGCAAGATGAAGATCTACAGTATGCGCTACCCCTCCTCCCTCTCTCTCTTCCCCTCTCCTGATTCCACGACTGTCGCTTGCACCGGGAGACAGATGTGGGATATTAAACATGAACTGACATGCAACCCGTCCAACAGCTCGCGTCGTCGGCAGCTCCTAAGTTAGATGAGCGCACGAAATTCAACCACAACTTGGGACAAGGCGTCGAGAATGATATTTCTTAAGGCCGCACAGTTTTAAAACGAGCGGTGCGAGGCAAAAAAAAAAAGAATTGCCTACTTGGGACACTTTTCATGCTAGGAAATAGCATACGGGCCGAAAAATCTACGGCGTACGATAACGGAATGAAAGATTCTCAAAAGTAACGAACACTATTACTTCTCCAAACTCTTGTGATGCCTTCTATCAAAATCCATTCGTACCTCTTGCAGATATGTCATATGTATGTCCACCCTACACCTGCCCATGTTAGGTATTCACGAATATCAGAACGCTCCTATTCCGTGTAATGGTGTATTGCTTCAGCCAGAAACCGTCTTCGATGTTTATTGTCTGGGCCATTAACTAGCTATGATGATTGTTGGACTCATGTCAACACCACACACGTACGGCGATTTGCATTGCGCTTGTGCGTCCATGAGATTTTCTTTCCTGTAGCGCAAACTACCCTTGAGCAAAACATACTGAGAGTAGGGTTATTACTAATATAACCTGAACATAATAATATCGTACTAGCGGTGTCACATATCACTACTTTAGTAATACTCTGTGTATCAACCGAGACATCGTATAGATACTTGTATCAGTGTGATTGCTTCTTTACGTGAAACCAAAGAAGCGATGCGAGAAACTGTCTATAGAGTGCGGCGTAACCCCAATGTCAACAAGGAGTACGCTGTACAATATGGTATCGAAGTTTGGCCCGGCTTCATTGCTCACCGTCATGTTGGCTATCTACTCGTACTCTTCCGGCGCATACGTGAGGTCATTTGCCAACGAACAACAATACTGCATGTACCCCGGATTGGGACGTATCGATACTAGTACGGATTATACTATACGTACGAGTACGGAGCGAAAACACTGGTAGTAATAATATCACTCCCTAGAAGGGATTCTATACTCGTAGTGGTGCGGAAGGTGCCAGATACGAGAACTAGCCAAGCGGTAATATCCCCCTTCTTTCGTACGTAAATATTCTCATATGCAAAACCCCATGCCTTAGGTTTCCTGGGTTAAATTCCAGAAGTAATACTCGCATAGAGATGTACCAATGGCACACCACACCTACCAGTATCTGTACTTGCTCCGTACCTCGGGGCCAATGGAGCGGACCACAATAACCTGTGTCATAGTAATACATGAACTTCCTTAGGATGGCGACGTAAGGAAGCTCCAAGACCAAGCAAGGGTAATATACTACCTCGGTATGGCGGGATGGCGGAAAGGTGGCCTCTACGCGGCGAAAAAAATGAGACACTTTTGGCGCAGCCGCAAACTTCTTTTTTTTTGGCCGCCATACAGGTAAGTACATGCATACCTTGATCGAATACAACCAGCAGGGCAGGAAGGACATTGCAGCGCACATTGCTCTTGCCTTCGCCGCACAGCCAATCCGGGTATGCCTTTTCCCTATACTAAGTAATGTTACCTGTACTCGTAGCCATTTCTATGTAGCATTACTCATGGCAATAATGTTCTGGACGGCGGCGACCTTTGCCCACCGTATTGAGAGAACATGCTCTTTGGAAGGAGGGTACGAGGACACACGGACAGCCGCCCTGCTGGGATCGGGGGGGGGGGGGGGGGGGGGCGCGGGCATCCCGATGGGGCCAAGCGGCCCAATAGAGCGGTTATCATTGGCCTGTGTGTGTGTGCTGTACATGTAATAATGCTCGGGCAAAAGGCTCGGACATGATCGATTCACCCATTGTGACCCAACGTCATGTGCCATGTTCTTCTGGGTGATGATGGGTTTGCCAGCCTACTGTATTCCGTAAAACGTATCAGATGTAAAAAGACAAAAAAAAACGGTCGGATTGAAGTACGGAGGTTACGGACATGGAACAGGGCAAACGGGGTCGATCGGGGGAGGAAAGCCGCAGTCCGCCCGGGCTCGTTGGTCAATGGCGGTATCAACATAAGCTCGTTTGCCATTGTTCCTTACGCTGGGGGCTGTGGGGCGACACGGGGGAATTAAGGCGAGTATCAATTTCGCGACATGCACCGACCAGAGTCAGTTAAGGCATGTGCAAATTAGGAGGAGATTGCTTCGGCCGAGTCGCCCGTTCTCAAGAGGAAAGGGGTGCAGTGCAGAATGTATTATTATTATGTTGGAAAGTAGGTGAAGAGAGACGGGGAGAGAAGGTGGGCGATGTCATCGCACATTACACACTCGTAGTCGTACATTGTATTATCTGTGCAAAAGCATCCTTATCAGTCTTTTCTTCTTATTTTTTCTTCTTTTTTTCCAAGTGCCGCTATACAGGTGGAAACACGACAGTGCTGGTTTCCTGAGTATTGATATTATATAACGCGCAACACGGCGGAAAATATCGGGCTTTGTCGGCATACCACCCCCCCTTGCCCTGTACCACAAGGCTCAGGGGTGGGGGGAGCCAACCAGGGACAATTGGCCAGAATAGTTAATGCCTGACTACTGAGGCTCCAAGGCCACCTGTTGCCATGGTAAAGGGAACGATAACTGGGTAACGGAGGACCCAGCGGCTGACGGCCCTGGAGGTGTGCGCTGAAAAGCCTGAACCTCCCTTTTGTTTCCAGACCTCTTAGGGGGGACTGATTGCCTGGCTGAGCACTTTTTAGCGTGGAACCGGGAAGATTCGTTATCAGAAGCGCACCCCCTACCTTGGAATCTCGTACTCCCCCCAGGCCGCAATTTTTTCTCTCTCTCTCTCCCACCCCCCCAGGCGCAGAATTTATTTCACTCGACCTGTCCCAAGGAAACTTCTTTCTTTCTTCATACACTTCCCCCAAAATCTCCCCTCACTTCTTTCTCCTTGTCCATCTTCGAGAAAGCCAACACAATGTCTGCCGCTGACAACAAGGTCCTGGGCATGCCGGTAAGTCGTCCTCAACCACGTTTTCCTGCCAATGCGTTGTCTGCCTTGAAATGCCGCGGCCGCGATATACGCGCTCTCTGAGGCGACCAACCATCTCCCACTGTGCAGAGCATCGCCAATTCGATCATGCTCTGTGCCGGGGCCGATTCTCGGCGACTGAAGAGGAAATGGAAATGGAAGCCTTCTGGAGCGGAGACCTCTTTCTCGCTGGCAAGACTGCGGTTCACAACGCATTGGCATCATCCCGATCACATAGAACATGATGCTAACTCTTATGTTAACCTTAGCCCTTCGTGGCGGACTTCCTGAGTATGTTCTCTAGTCTAACCGTCATCAACCGGCATAGAAGATACTGTTCTATCGACGACAATCTCGATGTCCTGGTTGATGGGTGATGAAAACTGTTCCGAACCGAATCATTCTAACATATCTTGATAGTGGGTGGTGTCTCCGCCGCCGTCTCGAAGACCGCTGCCGCTCCCATCGAGCGTGTCAAGCTCCTCATCCAGAACCAGGTAAGCTCTTCTCTAGACGTGGCTAAAATGCCTCATTGGTGCGACGAACCGTATCTGACCCCCGCCATAGGATGAGATGATCAAGAACGGCCGTCTTGACCGCCGCTACACCGGCATTGGCGACTGCTTCAAGCGTACCGTTGCCGACGAGGGTGTCCTCTCCCTGTGGCGTGGTAACACCGCCAACGTCATCCGTTACTTCCCTACCCAGGCCCTGAACTTTGCCTTCCGTGACAAGTTCAAGAAGCTGTTCGGCTTCAAGAAGGAGCGTGACGGCTACGCCATGTGGATGGCCGGTAACCTTGCCTCCGGTGGTGCTGCTGGTGCCACTTCCATGCTGTTCGTCTACTCGCTGGACTACGCCCGTACCCGTCTTGCCAACGACGCCAAGCACGCCAAGTCCGGCGGTGACCGCCAGTTCAACGGTCTCGTTGACGTCTACCGCAAGACCATCGCCTCGGACGGTATTGCCGGTCTCTACCGTGGCTTCATGCCCTCGGTCGCCGGTATCATTGTCTACCGTGGTCTCTACTTCGGCATGTACGACTCGTTCAAGCCCCTCCTCCCCGCCAGCCTCGAGGGCAACTTCCTCGCCAACTTCGGTCTGGGTTGGTGCGTCACCACCGCTGCCGGTATCGCTGCTTACCCTCTTGACACCATCCGCCGCCGCATGATGATGACCTCTGGTGAGGCTGTCAAGTACAAGAACTCGTTCGACGCCGCCCGCCAGATCATTGCCGCCAACGGTGTCAAGTCCCTGTTCAACGGTGCCGGTGCCAACATCCTCCGTGGTGTTGCCGGCGCTGGTGTCCTGTCCATCTACGACCAGCTCCAGGTCCTCCTGTTCGGCAAGGCCTTCAAATAAACAACTCGACCCACTCGAACATACTAGAGAGTGTTTAATTTCGACCGAGATGTCTAGTCTTGTGTCGTGTTAAAAAGGGGAGAAGGGATAGAGGTGTTAGGAGAGAATGCTGAACGGGGGGAAGTAGGAGGTTCTATGGATCATCGACTTCCTGCGGGTTAGACTGGCATTGGCATTGGCGTTGCTCGTTTATGGCACTGCCATGCATTTCTAGTTCCGCTGTAATATACACACGCAATACGCAATTTCCTTGATGTAACCATAAAGAAACGTTGTTCTCCTACGATGCCGGTGATGTATGCTGTCCTGCCGTCCTGCCGTCCTTTCTGCCCAAGTCGGGGAAAATGGTCAATGTGGCCTCTGTGAAGGTCATGTGATTCGACCGGTCTTGTGCGTGCCCCACTGCCGACCATGACTCTCCAGGTAGGAGGAGTCGATCAACGCGTCTGCTTGCTGTCTGCGCGCGACGCTATCTATTTTGTCCTAGTTCGTAGATTGGATATATCAACTCCCCTCCCAACGCATGCCCTGGCCCCTTTGCTGCCCTCCCGTTCTGTTTTTTTCTTTCTTCTTTTTTTCTCTCTTAATCTCTCATCTTCACGAGTAAGTCTCAATATCCTGCGCTCGACCTCGAGGTAATGCCTCCGAAACGTACGACGGACGGCGGATCCAGCGCAGCTCGTGGACGTCCGAAGAGCAGCACCGCCGGCAAGGAGAGCGTATCGAAGACGGCAGCTGCACCGCCGTCGAGCAACCGGTTCGGATCATCCGACGAAGACGAGGAGGAGGAGGGCGTAGAAGAAGAAGAGGAAGAAGACGCCCGGCGGGGGGACGATGACCGGCCGGAGAAGAGGATCCCGGACGAGCTGTTGACGAGGCTGCTGCACGAATTCTTCACAAAGGACGCGACACGGATATCAAAGGATGCGAATGCCGCGGTGGGAAAGTACGTGGATGTCTTTGTCAGGGAGGCTATCGCCCGGACGGCGGTGGAGAAGAGGGGAGGGTTCCTCGAGGTAAGTCTGGTGTGGACACTCCGAGTCAGACGGTGCCATGCATACGAGGTGTATGTATACTTCAGGGCCGGACCGGTGGCCTACGGGAATGGTTACTGACTGACACGTGCTGCAAACAGGTGGAGGATCTGGAAAAGGTGACGCCCCAGCTCCTGCTTGATCTATGATGAAGAGGGGAGGAGGGAACATGTATGGGTATGGGATGTACACACGACCGGACCGGACAGGACGATACCCCCAGAATCAAAGCTTGCATGGCGGCCCGAGAAACAACAACAACAACAGGCACGGGGAGGGGACCTTTAGCCAAAGCTAGCTCTGCTCACAATCCTCTTCTCTCGTGCGCGATGAATCATGATATGACGGAGAAGGGGCTTAGTTGCGTTCCACCGTTTTTAATATCGTAGGCATGCATGGTCCTTTGAGCAGGGGTTCACAAGATTAACATGAGCGGCTGGCAGGCTTTCCGGCAAAAAAAAAAAGGTAGAACATGAATGTACCGAAAAAAAAAAGAAGGCATGGATCTAGGACGATGCGGTTCCAGCCAGAGGGAACCCAGCGGGAGCCCAGAGGAGCAATGGAAGGGAACGAATGCTACACAGCCACGGACTGCGCAATGGATGAGATCTTGGCAGGCCCGACTTCTTCATTGTCTGGTTGGCGATGTGTCTGGCGACGAGCCGGAGGGCGGCAACTCAAACACACAAGAGGCGGAGAAGGGGGAAGCATGGGATTAGATGACTACAGATCTCTTCCCTCACCCGACCGGCAACTTGCAAGGTAGCACTGCTAGAGAGAGAGGTAATAATATTAAGGCTTAGATGCCTGTCATCAATGAGTACGGAGTACGCGTGTTTAGAGCCCCCCCCTCCCTCTCTCTCTCTCTCCTTCTCTCTACAGTTTACATGTATTAGCCTTAGCCTGTACGAGTAGGTGATGGGGCCCCTCTGGGTGGTGACACTCTGGGCTGAAACCCGGACCGCCGCAGTCAGGAGTTGGGGCTGGGCGGATATGGAGAGAGAGAGAATACGTCGTATCAAGGTGGTATTAAGCTGGGGGTAGGTGACATGGACAGATCCACCAAACCGGTCGGTAAAATGCATCTCGAGCTTAAATACGACGTATTGAGCGTGTGGATGGGCAGTCGCCACGGTACCATCTCGCTACGGATGGGCCATGGTAGGCTGCAGCAGCGAATGTGCGTGCCAAGAAGGTTCGAGTCCGGGGTATATGGTGTGGCAGTCCTGGGATGATGAAACCAGGGCCCCGTCTCGGATTGCTCACGATGAAGCAGGTTCGGCCGCTAATATCGAGTGAGGAGGGTAAGGATCCGCCCGACGGTGGCAGATGAGTCTGGCTTAGGCTTCTTCTTATTTACTTACGGGCGTATGCATCGTACACGGTCGTCTACAGATGAGAGAGTCATTCAGGAGCAATACAAGATGAGAAAGAAAGAGAACAGAGGGAAAAGGAAAAAAAAAAAATTGAAAGGGAGAAATTATTGTGCGCGTCTGCGGTAATCTTACTCGGGTAGGATTTTATTTTATTTTAAATCTTAATCTTTAAAATTTTTTAATTTTTTGAGTAGCAACGATGATACAGAGAGAGTAACGTAAAGGCTGTGGCTGTACATGTCATGTAGGTATCACCGCCATGCTCCTCTCAACAAGAGATGACCGGCAGTTCAGTTCGTAAAAGAAAAAAAGAAAAAAAGAAGAGAGAGAGAAAAAGGGGAGAATTGAGAAGGAAATTTTGGTGTGTATTCAGCATCTGTACCGTAAATCCCCGGGTCCACCCCACCCCTCAAGGAAGAGAAAAATCAAAATCAGAATCCGACACTGACCCATGTTCGGTTTACCTTGGAGGAGCGGCGGCCGACGTGGTTCCTCGTAACAGTCCCTCACCCATGGGTTTGATAGCAGAAAGCCATAGTCTTATAGGCAGCATTGCCGAGTGTTCAAGTATGGCCCTGACGGGTCGGCCACTGCTACAGTAAGTTTCGAGACGGGGGGCTCCTCTTACACGGAGTTGCCTGCGACAGAAACACCACACACCCCTTGATGGGACGGAGAGCTCACCATCCGGGGCGAGGGTATCGATGGGTGGCCGTCGTTTGGCGAAAACAAGGAGAAATGCTCATAAACCCTCCCTCACCTCCTCCCCTTCTCTGTTCTCGAAACCAACCCATCCTCAAGCATCCTCTCCTCTTCCTTTCTTTCAAATTCCCTCTCCCGGGTCTTTCTTTGTGTGTGTTTTTATTCCTTTCTCTTTGCCCTGGAGGCTTCCTTGTTGCTCTCATTTATATATCTTTTTTTTTTTTCCTTCACAGTCTTTTTTCTATATTTCGTTTCTCTGATCTCTGGAAGATCTAAACATATACACACCTACTCTCACATCTCATAATCTCTTTTCCTCCCCTTCATCCTGCAGGTCCGGAAACCATAGGCACCAAAAGAAAGACATTCAAGATGCAGTTCTCAACAATCCTCACTGCCATGCTGATGGGCGTCGCATCAGGTAAGAAATATGCATACAACGATCAACAGCTCCTCCTCTCTGCTCTCTCTCTTCAAGAAAGAAAACAAGAAGAAAGGAGGAGGAGGAAGAGGAGGAAAGAAAGATCCCTAGGGCTGACATTATTCTTCTAAAAAGCTGTCGACGTCCAGGTCGTCTACGTGGGATGGAACCCTGCCAACAACAAGACCGGCAAGAGCTACTGGCCCGAGAAGATCACCGCCAAGGCCGGAAGCATGGTCCAGTTCCAGTTCTGGACCGGCAACCACACCGTCACCCAGTCGGGCTTCGATGCCCCCTGCGAGGCCATGGCCGACGGCATCCAATCCGGCTACATGCCCGTCGACGCCAGCGCCGCCGACGCCGAGATCCCCACCTACACCATCATGGTCAACGACACCAAGCCCCTCTGGTTCTACTGCGCCCAGGCTACTCACTGCGAGGAGGGCATGTCCCTGGTCATCAACGAGAAGTGAGTCAGATATCCGACGGCAGCGGTCTTATATATGCATACGTTCTTTCCTCATCTTCGCACCGGCAGACGGCTAACCCGATGACCTCTCTCACAGCACCACATCCGGCAAGACTCTCGCCTCGTACAAGACTTCCTCCGCCGCTCTTCTGGATGACGGCACGACAACCGGAGGTGACGCCGGCAACGGCACCGACACCGGCTCAGGTTCTGGCACCGACTCCGGCACTGGCACCGGCACCGGTTCTGGAACCGACTCTGGCACCGACTCTGGCACCGGCACCGGCACCGGCACCACGACCGGCGACGCCGACAACGTCGTCTCTGGTGGCTCCAACAGCACCACGGGAACCGACAGGCCCCAGGGTGCCGGATCTACCCTCGCAATCCCCAGCTCCATGCTCATGCTGGCCGTCGGTGCCGCCTTTGCTCTCCTGTGAGGGTGAAGGGGAACGTGGCAGAGTTAGAATCGGGAAAGGTCCGGGCGGGCGGTTTTCATCTTTGGCGTTGAAACTAGTACTAGTAGTAATGGGCAGCGGGGAGAAGCCATTTTCTTTTTATTCTTCTTCTTATCGGTGCTCCCGCTGGTTAGGGTGCTGGTCTATGACTATGATTTTTTTGGGATTAGGTTTTATTATACAATCACCACTTTTGAGGGAAGCTTGAGGCAAAAAAAAAAAAAAAAGAAGCAATACATACACATACACATACATGCAGTATTGTTGGTTTCGTCTTCTCTTCTTTATCGTCACCTCACGATATCACAGGTGCATCAGCTCCTTCTTTAGGAAGAGCCTTTGCGTTTGTGATGATCGATATGTTGTATTGATCTAGGACGACTCTCATCGTGGTAGTTATATGTGAGAATGTTTGCTATGTCATCCTGAGGCAACAACCTCGGTCCCGGATTATCCCTTCTTCCGGTTGCATTTGGCTGTTTGATGCAAACACATACAAAGTATATATATATATATATATATACATCATATATACATATATATACCATTTCATCTGTCTTCGTTTTTATTCTACAACGGTGTGAATAGACTGGTAGACGTTCTGAAAGAAAAAAGGGCAATACAAGCTCTCTCGTGCGTCTCACCCCTGCTTCTCGTCCCCGGGAATCTTCCTCTTGGGCCTACTCTTGAGTGCCTGCGCGCAGAGCTCCCTACGCGGCTCCTTCTCGAGCCAGCCTTCCTCCCTGACGACGTAACCGACGCGCTTGTACTTGGCGTTGCCGGCGAAGAAGCCGACCCAGTGCTTCAGGGCGTCGTGGGCCTTGGCGCGGGCGGCCTCGAGCTCGGCCGCGCGCATCTCCTCCATCTCCTCGGCTGTCCAGTACGAGTCGACGTCCGGGTCGTCGACGGGGAGGAACATGTCCTCGACGCCGCGCATGTCGGGCGTGAGGTCCTCGGCGAAGCAGCCCGTCACGAAGGCGCGCGAGGCGTCCTTGCCCGAGAAGAAGCCGTATCCACCACCCGGACCGTATATCTGTCGTCGAGCCGACACGTCGTAGATTGTGCCGTTGATGGCCAGGTAGACGGGCTTATCCGGGTCTCTGCCGTCGAAGCCTGCGAGCTCCTCTGGGCTCATGTATACGGGACCTTTCTGTTCGGCTTGTCAGAGAGAGAGAGAGAGGGGGGG